ACACCTGTCTTCCTTATAAACTCCAGTAAGATGCCGAAGTGAATATTTGATGATTCCTTGTATCATTTATGAGTGTGTTTATTCTCTCTTTCAATTGATATATATATATATGTATATATATTTACAAAAACTGGATGCTTTCTCTTCTGCTTTACTATACTTCATATGTATTAGCTTAAATGGAGAAAATTCAGGCCTCATAGCTGTGGCTGGATTCTGTGCTCTGCTTTGAATATTAAAACCCATTTCCTCATCTTAACAGCTTCATAATAAACAACAAGGACACCTTCTTCAGCAATGCGACCCGAAGCAGGATAGTCTATCATATGCTGGAGCGCACCAAATATGAAAATGGGATATCAAAAGTGGGTAAGAACATTAATTAAAAACGTAGAGAAAGTAGAATTTACTGATACTATTAGAGTTATACCCAGAATGATTTTTTAAAAAGCAACTGTAGCTTTGCCTTCATTCATTGAATGCAAATGTATAACACAGTTAACACACTCTTCAAACATTCTGTGGGGCTGTCTTTCAGTAACACCAACAAACAAAAGCTTTGTGGAGGGTGTTTAGCCATATGCATCATTATGGGAAAAGTGTAAACACTTCAGAACGGAAAGAAATGTTATTTCTCCAAGTTTATTTCAAAGGCGTTGTCAGACTTTCAAATGATAATATGTGTAAAAACTGATTCATTGTGGCTTTGTCTGTAGTAGAATACAATTGGAAATACCCTAAATATCTGTTCATGTGGACTGACAAGGAAATTGGACTATGTCGGTCCATATAACGCACCCATTAAAACTTAGTGACATTCATTCATTCCTTTTAACACAAATTACTCATGCATCTCTTATGTTCTATCAAATGACATGTTTGACATAGATCCATGATTCATAGTTACAAGTTCTCTGTTTACTGACTTCAAAATATAGCCATAATATTAATACAGTAAGTAAAATAGATTATAAGACTATAAAGTTAATGTTACTCCATTTCCTAAACACACCTTCATAAAAGGAAAAAAAAATCTAGAAGAATATAGAAGAAACTTTTGGTACCGGCAGTTAGTATAATGACTGTGTCGCTGGACTCCCATGTAGTCGACTACGGATCGAGTCCCATACCCAGCGGCTTAAACGCACACTGGACACGTGTGCGTGTGTGGCCATCCCCCCTGGGGGGTGATTTCTCACTTTCTGTCTCTCTGTCTCTCTCTTTCTTTCTGGCGAGAGCATGCACCCTGTACAAAAATCTCTCCAAAAAAAAAGAAAGTGAAGAAAGCAAGACTCTCAAAAAAAAAAGAAAAAAATATACATATATAGAAGAAACTTTTCAGAGGTTATTTCAAGAACATGAAATAACATTTAACTCCAACTTTATAAATTTCTATATTGCCTGAATCTTGAACACTTTGCTACAACACGTATAACACAAAAGAAAACTGAGAAAACTCCACTTAGAAAAAGTAAATAAATGAAAGGTCAGCCTGTGGCATGTGGTTAAGGTGACTGGATAACACATGGCTGGCTGGGAGGTTTGAGTCCCAGACCTGGCAGTTTGAGAAGTACAGTGGGTACGTGTGTGTGCAGCATGGCAATTAGTAATTCTAATTGTCACTTATAAACTTTTACTAAGTATAAATTAAAACCTCACTGACAAAGAAAAAAATTAAATTTGATCAGAAATATTTTTAAAAAAACATAATAGGGAAATCTAACATATGAGCTGAAAAGGTGTGTAAACAATAGCACTGTGTATTTATGTAGTTTTTAAAAATAAAATGATACCTTAGGGCCAGCTGGTGGCCTGGTGGTTAAGGCAGCCAGATCTCACATGGCTGATAGCATGGTTTGAGTCCTGGATCTGGCAGCTTAAAACACAGGCTGGGCGTCTGTGTCCATGTGCCCAAAATCCCGAGAGGAAAATGGAGGAGAAGGGATTGAGGCATACCCATCTCCACCTTGAGTGTGCCTTCTTATTCTCTCTCTCTCTCTCTCTCTCTCTCCCCCTATCTCTCTCTCTCCCGCCACCCCATCCACCCAGCAAGTACAGTGCCCTATAGCAAACTAAAAAGTTCATGGAAAATGAACATTATAAATGAATTCTAATTTCAATTTTATTTTTTTACATGAACTATTTGAAGTACCCTCATAGATAACATCAAAATTAGAATCATGCATTGCTTACAATTTTATATCCTGGTTTTTTAATTACCATTGAGGAAATCCTCAAACTCTTACATGCTGTTTGAAAACTTACCTGTAAATATCTGTACAATATTCTATAATAAATAGTAATCAAACCATAAGTATTATACTATAATAATTAAGTAATTCCCTAAGTTTGGATGTGCCATTATTTCTCATTCTTTATTAATATAAATAATATTGCAATGGAAATGCTCTTCTGAAAGTCTTTGTAATATCTGTTTTTTACCAAGACGATGTAGGAGTGTTATTTTACTAAGCTCTCACTGAGATGGAGGGTTTTAATGTCTCATATTGCTATTTATGTCTCTTTGGCTTAATATTAAACTACTAAAGACTTCTTGATACCAATATCTTTTTGAGGTATTTGGCAGGGCGTGGCTCAGGGGGAGCATAGAGTTACTCTTCCTTGACCAAACTTTATTGTGTTGAGGGAAAAAGAACTGCCCCAGGCTCATGTGGCCCCAAATGAGTGTGTGTTAAAATTGTAAGTGGAGCATAGCATCTTGTCGATCGCCAGTTGCCAATTCTGAGGATGCAGCTAGACTGGTGTCAGGCTCTTTCACTGTCTCGTCCTCATAGACAATGTGGCTAGCAAAGTCACTTAGAATATTTTGAATTTTTTCATTAATTCGTTGTCTCAAGTACATGTATATGCTTCAGAGGGATTTGTTTCCTGTAAACTAACTGAAGAACTGTTGTTCTTTCCACAGGTATCCAAAAACTTATCAACAATGGCTCCTATATAGCAGCATTTCCCCCTCATGAGGTAAAATTCCGATGTAAGAAAAGTTTTTAAACTTAATGCTTGTCCCCATATTCTCCACTTGAATCTGGCTGTCTAGCAGTAAGGTCCTGTTTGCAAATGGCCCAGGGACTTTCTGAGACCCCATTAAAGTCTTGTGGCTGCACACTGACTCCTCTGCTCTGAAACCTTCTATAGCTGGCCCCAGCTCTGGGCTCGCAGCTTGGAAGGGAACGCTCCTGGCCTGGCTGGGACATGCTGGCCACTACCGTCTGCACCAGCAGGGACCTTCCTACCTGACCCGCCCTGAGGTCCGACCTACTTTGACAGGGAAGGTTCCTGGGTTATGCCACGACGCTGGGATATCTGAAAATGTAACGTGAACCCACAGAGCAAACCTGGGGCTCAGTACCTCCCTCCTCCTCTTCTAGGTTGTTCCCTTTCCACTAGTTTAAATAGGAAGCACCTGTGCCAAGCTGTGGCCCACCTGCCCCTCACAAAGGATTTTTGAATCCATTTTAACTTCTCGCCCTACTCCCTTGTATTTTTCACTTCTTTCTCTAAAAATATTTCACTTCTTGAAATAAGGATGTGATCTTGAGAGGCATTACTTCTGAACTATCAAAGACTACCCCTTTTCTTTTCATAAAGTGAAAACTGGGCATTCAAAGGAGGACATGACAACTGAGGAATTTGTGGTCTAGTATAAATGACACTAGGCAAAATGCATTGCACAGTAAGCTGATTGTTTCCTATGGACCTTTGAGAGAGACAATATTAGTGACCCCATTTTCTATATAAGTAATTCAATGACAGAAACCTAAAGTATCGAAGATGTGGTTTTGAGCGCAGGAGGTCCACCTAGTCCTTACATTCATTATGTTTTACCTACTTAGACGATGAACAGGTGTGATGACCGTGGGCGGTTAGCGTGTCCAGTGCCTGGCTCTGTGCATGTGTTTTCTTGTAACTCTGACAGTGGCACTGGAAGGTAAAGACTATGAGTATTTCCATGTTAGAGATGGGACGAATGCTCAGAGAAATTGAGCATTATGTCTAACACCCCATGTTCAAACTTGTAAACCCAAGGCTCTGGGAAAGCCTTACAGCAAAGCAAAGTTTGGTGTGTTTTCTGTGTAATTAATTGTCTCCAGTTAATTGGGTGTTCTGACAGTTCAATTTCTTGTGTGAAACCTGGACCTTTAATAAATAGGGTGGGGAACCAGCAGTTAGCGTAATGGCTATGTCGCTGGACTCCCACGTAGTCGACTGCGGTTCATGTCCCGGACCCGGTGGCTTAAAACTCACGCCGGGCGCGTGTGCGTGCGTGCCCAAGATCCCGAGAGGAGAATGGAGGAGAAGGGATTGCGGCGTGACCATCCCCCCTGGGGGGTGATTTCTCGCTTTCTGTCTCTATGTCTCTCTCTGTCTGTCTGGTGAGCGCACGCGTCCTACAGTGAAAATCTCTCCAAAAAAATAAAAATAAAAAAAATAAATA